TATATATATATATATATCCACATCCACTACCTATCTGCTGCTGCTGCTGCTGCTGCTGCTGCTGCTGCTGCTGCTGGCTCACCTGTTCTGCGAGCAATGGCCATAGCATCTATAAGAATATTCATTAATTCTTGTAGATCAAGGAATCTGCTGCTGTCAATAAGAATAAGACGCCCTTTGCTGCTGATTAGCTTAGCAGCAGCAGCAGCAAGCTGCAGCAGCTCCTCTGTATACACAGCAACAAGTCCTTGTCTATAAGGAGGAGGAGGATCTATAACAACTACATCGAACTCGTTAGCAGCAGCAGCAGCAGCAGCTTCGTTATCCGCAGCAGGAAGAGAGCCATGAGGAGGAGGGCTGCTGCTGGCTCTCTGCAGCAGCCATTTTAGTGCATCGGCCTGCTGCAGCACCAGCTGCTGCTGTACGCCATTTGCTGCTGCTGCTGCTGCTGCTAGCTCAAGGGAACCGCTGGATATATCGACGCATACAGAGCTCGTTGCTGCACCACTACATAGTGCCATGATGCTGAATGCTGCAGCAGCAGCAGCAGCAGCAGCAGCACAAACGCACAAACAGGACGTCTATACAGCTTGAGGTAGGTTTTAGTCTTTTAGGGTTTAGGGTTTAGGGTTTAGGATAGGGGAAGGGAGGTTAAGGAGCTGCTTGCACCAGCGGTTGCTCGGCGCTGCACCTAGCAGCAAGCAGGAGCAAGCAGCACCAAGCAGCAGCAAGCTGAGAGATGGGGCTGCATGCAGTACCTGCAGAATGGCAATAAAGATCAAGCATCCTTCCCCCCATAGGCAACTCCGCCACCGCCTTCCGCACCTCCCGCCTATCGTAGTACCAGCCTGCAGGTAGCCATCAGTAAGACAGCTAGCTGCATGCATACAGCTAGCCGCAACCAGCTAGCCACCAGCTTCTGCCCATAGAAATACAACAGCGCGCAGCTAGCCATAGATAGGGTCCACGTACAACTAGTCTTAGAAAAAACCGCTAAACCCTAAACCCTAAACCCTAAACCCTAAACCCTTTCGCTCCCACTGCAGCAGACGCGCACCTGTGTCGGGGCTGTTAAGGAGATCTACAGGGAAACTGCAGCCTCCTTCCTTAATCCATTGCCAGTTGGTCACTTCCCCTGAGCTCACGGCGACCCGCAGCAGCAACAGCAGCAGCAGCGCGAGGAAGTTGTCGACAATGCTGCATGCATGCATGCGAGGTTCCGCAGGAAATATGCATGCACACGTCTAAGGAGAGAACATACCGCTAATGCATGCAGAGTATGACTGCAAAGATGCATCTCTCTCTAGCTGCCGCAGCAAACTGTCATTGCGCAGCACCAATGCTGTTGGCTGCATTTCTTCTTTTATTGCTGCAACTAGCGGACCAGTCAGCAGCTCGCTCCCTGCAAAGAAAAGGAAATAAACATAAAAAGTACATATAATAATAATAATAATAGTAATAATAATAATAATAATAATAATAATATATAAGAATGGGGAGCAAGCAACCTGCCCATTTCTTAATACATTGTGTATATAAGGCTGTCTTGCTGCGGGTGAGGGAATCCTCTAGTCACTGCTTGCCTCTTGTTAATTGCTGTATAGACACCGCATTGCCAAATACGTCAACAATAAGACCAGGGAGGCCGTCACTTTCCCCGTTAACTAGGCGATAGAAGCCACGGGGGATAGAAGGAAGGGCAGTGTCTTTTGCGGCGGAGTGTGGGGGGAGGCTCTGATGGTTACGATCTGCAGCAGCTGGTGCGGCTGCTGATCCTGATACTGAAGAACCTGCTGCTGCTGCTGCTGCTGCTGCTGCTGCGGGATTCAGTGCATCTGGCGGCAATCCCTTTCTTCTCAAAGCTGCCTCGCGCAGTTTCTGTCGGAAGAAAGCTGCATCTAAAGACGTAGAGGACGATACACCCTCAATAATCCTGGCAGCAATAAGCGGGCGAGAATGAAAGAGGCCGCAGCCTAAGAAAGATTCACTCTCGCTATCCACTACATTAACAGCAAGAGGGGTAAGTCTACCGTCTTTTGGAGGTATACTCCCCCTTGCGTCAAGGGTCACCTCCTGCTGCTTGCGCTGCAACTCGACAAAATTCTTTATTTCATGAGCAAATATCCATGGAGGAAGTAACCGACGGGTAGACTCCGTCTTCCCTCTCCTCTGTAGCAGCAAGATCGGGCGGGAGGTTGGGCAATCTGTACAAGAACACAAACATGCGCACGAATCAGCATGCAGAACTGCATATTTTTTGTCCGTTCTGCATGCTTACACGACCTAGTTTAAAAGCAGCATGAATGATGAAAGCGCATGCATGCATGCGGGTCTTCTTCTTTGATTATCGTCTAGCAACAACAAACATTTGTAGGTATTCTTCTTACCTTGGAAACTTTGAAACTCATCCAATGATGTCCAATATTGTTTATTATTATTTGTCTGTTGTGAATTAAACGATCTGCTGCATTCCTCTGTCTGTTTATCGGTAATTGTTGGGGCGCAGTGGCTTTGAAACCTGCGGCTCGTTCGTTGAAATTTCAGCAGCAACCGTCGTACTGCAGCAACAGCTGATGCTGTAGTGTAGGATGGATGCAAGCGGTGTGGCAACGACATATTATTTAGTATAAACACTTAAAAAAACCCAGAAGGGTGGATATGGCCTAACCCGAGCTGTGTATGTTGATGAAAAATCCACGAAGGCAGTCAAGCGCTATGAGCCTGGCAGGGCAACACGAGAGATCTGGAGTAATTATGACCTTCATAGAAAAACTCCCCCATCTTGTTGGGTAGGCAAAGTAAAGAAGAAGACTTATTGTCACACAGAAAGGAAGCTTGAAGCATCTTGGATCGGGAGTTGTCTCAACAAATCGGCGTGGCTACGCCTACTAGTGTTGACGCGAAAGGCAGGTAAGATAGAGCTGCCTACCAACTTCACTACTAATAAATGTGACCAAATATAATTTAATTATTTATGCGTTCACAGCAGGATTACCAGAGAAACCTCTAAGATCGCTACAGGCGAAAGCCCCACTGGCAGACTGAGGGAGCGAACCCACGATTCTTCCTTACTGGGGGACCAACAAATTGCAAACATTCTTTTGTGGAGAAGTAAAACACAGACAGGTAGAATTTACACATTATCAGGTGCTATTTAGGCACATTTCATGAGCAGTACACAGTTCTCAATGGGCCCCCGTATGGTCGATCTCGGACGTCCGCTGGTAACGGGGCGCCTAAGTTATGCAACTCTCCCTACCTTCGTATGGAGATCCCCCAATCGGTAACTTAGTTTCGTTAGCCAGTTAATGTATGTTTTGGACAACGTGGTTACACTGGGAATTCTTAGCTTCCAGAGCTAGGTTGAGGATCCTACTCACAAAGGTTAGCGCAAAACTGGAGATGGTGCTGCAGCTCGAGGATGCAGGCTCCCTTCTTTAAACTTCCTTCTGCGTCAACGATTACAAACGCTTATTGGAGCCTGTGGCGTTTTCAAGCCGTTTGGGCGGGTCACGTTGCCCAGGCAGCTTTTCAGCGGCAAGAGGCAAGAAGAGAGACGGGACGAGGGGAGGAGACCAATTCGAAGAATGCTTTATGCTTGCAACAGAATGCATGGTGGGAGAGTTGTAACCGCTGTAGAGTTGAAATGCGCAAAATATCCAGAATCACGTGCTCAAGTTGGAGCGAACGCGGACGGCGTGGCGAATGTGTCTCCGTCGCCATACACTAGGGAAAGCTGAATAATTACAAAGCCCATTTGTGCAAATAAGCGTTGTGCACAGAGAACCCTTATTAGCTTGGCAACTATGGTAGTTTACCACGGGCATACTCGTTGACATCCCAGAGCACGACCATTTCATGCGTAACTACAGTACCATTGCTGGGTGGTATACTGTGCCCAGTAAAACAAGTCTAGCAAAAGTAACTAGAAGTAATTGTAGCGGAGCGTTATGTTGAGTGGCATAAATCCCTCCTCGGTGTCGCCTGTGGATATCTCTGCTGCTGGATGGACAGCATTGTATTGATGCACCCATCAGCTGTCAAAGCCTAACTAGTAAAGATGTAAATCCTCAATAGATGGAATTAAACATTCTACATAGCAGTAGAATCAACAAGTAATTAGAACATGAAGGTTTGTGCAGCGTGTTCACCCAGAGGTCTGAATGCAATTCTCCATATAAACACACTGTACAAGCCTCCATTTGCCCCTTGCTTGTTCATTCACCTGGTCTATCGGCTGGTTGATTTCACTTATTCTGCTTTTACCTACTCTTCAGCAGACGGCACCTTTTAATCTCTAGTTTACAATATTCAACCCATCCCTCTTAATTCCCAGTGCAATGGGTTTCCAAGGGCTGCCGCATCCCCATGGTCTCACCGTTTACCAACGAGCCTGTCTCGAACATCCTCGGACTAAGCGGTAAAGGGGCGCTCGTCTTTCCAAGGGAAGCCGGAGAGCAAGCTCTATCCATATATGGGCCCCAGAATGTCTCAGGCCTGGCTTGCATACTGTGGGTGGACTAAAAGTGCCGTCATATCCATGTAGTTGCCTGGCATCCACAGACCGGGTGATATGCGTGATTGAGGGCAGTGATTGAGCCCTGATTGTTTGTGCGCAGTCAGCTCTTCTAGTCCGGACACTGTAAATGTGTTCAGTAGTGGTCGGGGAAACATGGGAATACGACGATTGTCACTATTTCATAGTTGTTCTATAGCGGTTCAGTTCGTAGCAGTGATACGCCAGTTCATGGCCGCTGTGGTATTAGCACCCAAATATTTGCATTGTGTCAAAACAATTGAAGGACTGAATTCCTTTTATTAGCCAAGTAATTGTAAAAAAATGGGGGAGTACGGGGAGCAGTACTTCTGCCGGTGTAGTACTCGCAGACCTTGACCATCGGCTTCCTGGTTGTCGATAGTGTATATCTAATCATCACCATGGAAGTGCAGAAAATCCCATCTTATAAATCCAACCCCATGAAAATTTAGCAGTTGAAGATGCACCATTATCCCTGTGGTCTCGGAGGACCCGTGAATGCGCAGTGCGATGTACCACAGCCGTCAGCGGCTGCCTTCCCCGAGACAGATGCCGTTCGAGCTGAGTCGTTTCAGGCTAACTTCTATATTTTCCGATGCATGTTGCAAATTTTTGAAAATGAAGGGGTGATACTGTTGACGAAATCTCGTACAGGGCATGCAGTTTCTTGGTGCGATGGCTAGTTTCTCTACGGTATTCCCGCGAGTCGAAGAGCACAGTCTATGGTTACTGCCAGGCAGAAGGTTATGCATTAATCCCTTTGTCTGATTATTCAGTTTTTTTCCAACACTGTAGCAGCCATAGGACACCGTTGTCCCCCTCCTGCGGACACTCAGGACGCTGTTTTTTCCGTGTCTCGGTCGCCAGCATTCACAGCATGTGCAATCATGCCCAACCTTATTTTCTGAGCATGCTTGAAGCCTGGCCCTTTCTATATCTCCTCGGGCTTGCACAATTAATATATGCAGATTGATGAATGACTGCGCGGCGCATTAAAGGAAGGAAGGGTGATCTTCGTATTCGAAGTGGCCAGCCGCCACCATAATCTGCATCGGGAGCTACGTGCTGTGAAGTGTGTTAGCAACTTTTGCTCGAACGCCTCTTTTTTACAAGGAATGGCCTGCTCGTTTGTTAATGGCGATTCTTGGAACGGATTGAATGGAGCCGCGAGGTGGGGTGCGGCCTCCACCGCTCCCCCGGGCCAGATGATGCCACAGTCGTTCGCTGAGAGCGCCACCTTACGTTGCCGTGTTTCTGGTGCTACCGATTTCGGAGAGAGGAGACCGCTGAATATGCAATTCACGCCTCAGTCAAACATCACAGCGGCGCCGTGGGCGTCGGAGAAAAAGTCGGGTTCATTTGCCAACGCATCCCAAAGACAGTTGCATATTTTTCGCCTTGATGGGGACGGTTGCCCACAATTGAAATATAAAAAGGCTGGTGGGAATGGAAGACCACTTTCCACCAGCTGTCGACGCGCAGGGAGACAGACCCCTGCCCCCTCCCCTTCAAAGTTCGAACTAGCTGCTGTGGCAGCCTTGTGCAGTCCAGCAGCATCCACATCGAGAGCCCTATTTCCACGTGTTGGACCCACAAAGCGTTCTCCCTTCCCGTCGGCTCATTCTTTCGTCCCCTCCAGGAACATTTTTCTTGGAAAGACGCCTTCAGAGGAAGGGGACGCAAGACCTGAGGGCGCCAGTAGCATTCCCCTTATACCTACGCGCAGCTTTGACGAGGCGGCTAAGAAGGACCCTTCTGGAGAGGCCTTTACATCGTTGACGGGGTTGTCATGTCAAACCCTAACTCAGCCTCCCACTGCGCATTGGGAAAATGTAGTGCCTAGAACAGGTGGAGGAGACTGGCAAGGCATGGGGACCTTTCAACAATTACCTGGGGGCCCAGAAAGCTCAATCTCTCGATGCTTTATCCCCAGGACGTGCTGTTCCCCCAACGTCCAATGGAGGGATCAGCTACTTCAGGGTACGCAACATGTGGAGTCAAACAGGAATGCGCATATGTCTATGTCCCACCAACTTCACGGAGCGCCTTCCCAAGCCGCAGGGACTGCAAACTGTTCATTTGCCTCTCAACCATTGCCTGGCGTTGCACTTACAAAGGCTTCATCCTGTGGCGAAAATGCCATGCTGCCACACATTGGGTTGAACGAGCTGAATTCGCCGGTGGAGCAGGCTGCCGCTGCATTGGGATGCAGCCCCAGAAACTTGTCACATCTGATAAAACCATTGCATACAACTTGTCGAAAAAACGGAGAAAATGCCCAGGAACATGTTGACGACCAGCGTGCAGAAGTGGTAACTGTCTACGGGACGGAACGATTCTGGGATCTGATGGAGACCCTTGCTGAACTTCAAAGGGGGCCCACCTCCTTGCTGAGCAGCAGCGTGACCTTCGACTCGGTTTTGTTGCCCGGAGGTGAGCTGGAGTACTCAATCATTCAGCAAGGGAGCTTTGGAAAGGTCTTTGTCGGGACATACCAGGGAAGCAAGGTAGCCATTAAGGTACCTGTGGAATGCATGCTCACCACCGACCCCGCTGGGGTGGTGGAGCGTACACTGAATGAATGGAAAATCCTCTCCATGTGTCAACATCCAAATGTGGTTCGTCTTATAGGGGGAATTGTGCATGGGCCATTTGATGTATGGCTAGTTACCCAACTGGCCAACGGCAGTGACCTTCACTCGCGAAAATACTCTCGCGATCCCCTTGTGCGGCGATTCATTTCGCCGGAGAACGGACTGTATATGTGCCGCCAACTCGCTGCAGTTGTGGCATACCTTCACGTTCCCGTCCCTGGAAGAAAGCCTATAGTGGTCCACAGGGATATCAAACCTGAAAACGTCCTGATAGGGGATGATTGGACCATACAGCTCTGCGACTTTGGGGATGCAGAGGCATCAGCTGATGGACGTGTATCTCGTATTTCTGGAGCCACATGGTTCTACGCCCCTGCGGAATTGCTGCGGTGCAGCCCGGTGGAATGCATGGCATCTAGAACAACTGTACAACTACCTCCTTTAAATGAGAAATGGGACATCTGGTCAATGGGATGTGTCTTCCAAGAGATGTTCGGATTCCTCAGCCCTATGCATGTGCATATATCCAACCGCGACAGCCCCAATGTCATATATGAGAAGCTGAAGTCCAAGGCTATATCCGGTACTCTTGTCCCCGATATTGCTTCAGGGATTCAGGGAATCGCAAGGAATATCATTGCAAGATGCTTAGACCCAGATCCATCATCAAGACCGTCTGCTGTAGAAGTGTTGAACATGTGGAACGCCCGCGACGAGGATATTCTTAAAGACATTCACATGCGGCCGTACCCTCCTGAAGCCAAAGCTGTAGAAGCCCCCAGTTTCAACTCTTCGAACAGAGAAGGCTTCCCTCGCATCACCGCGGAACCCCAGCAAATGTTACCCAGAATATGTTCGCTGCGGACAGAACCTAACCGCCACTTCATAACAGAGAACACGCGAGGGGAGATCAGAAACATACAGAACGGACAACCGTGTTCCTCCGCCAGTGCTTACAGCACACACACATACGTCAACAGGTTCAGCTGAAGCATTATTACTTGCCAGGTTGTCAACTAGGTTGCGAAAATTTTTTTAAATGTATCGACTCAGGTCCCAGGGGTTTCCGCGAAGTCACTCATCGCAAAGGATGCAGTGAGGTGCGAGCATTCCCAAGGAGTGCCGGCTTTCATTGGATATCGCAAAGGATGCAGTGAGATGCAAGCATTCCCAAGGAGTGCCGGCTGGCATTGGATATCAGTGATCTGCATCTTCAGCGTTGGACATTGCTGTCGCGTATTAGGCACATCTTGTGACACCCTTCTTGCTTGATTAAATAAGGTGGAAGGTTAAACAGTTGCATGAAGTGCAACTGGCTTTTCCACTTGTCTTGTTAAAAGTTGATGCAGCTTCCCAGGCGCTAGCCCTTAAGCTGCAAAGTTATGGGCAGATGCTATTCCGTTTGTTTTTTCAAGCATCCTATCAATCACCTCACAAGCATGAAGGACGGCGAATACAGGAAATGGAGGCAAACTCCACCATTTCTTGTATCCCGTGGAAACATCAATGTGGCAGTATTGCACATGAAGTGTTGTATGCTGCGACGGGTCGCAAGAGAGGCCTTGCGGGGTTGTAGTCCTAGAGTCTGGGAGTAGCGCAAGACCAGTGTACTTTATAAACCAAAGAATTTACCCTTTAGTCCAGATTGGGCCAAGTCGAAGGGTGTCAGCTAAAGTGTGCCAGCTGAATGGACTGGAATACGTAGTTGTACATTTAAATTTAAATGTTGAAAGTATTATGTGGGATATTTAGATTAACCGGAAAGTGCGTCTCCTAATCCGTCTTCCGCAAGACTTTCCTTGTTGATTTAGAAACCTTCAAGCACTGAAGCCTCTCACACAGCAACTGACTCACAATATTCCTTAGAAGTATGAGCAAGAAATAAAATCCCTAGTCGCTGGGGAAATTGACGCTGCAGGCACTGCCGCAAAAAAAAGTATGGGTAGGATTCAAACTCCCACTAAAAAGAAAGCTGACGCCGGAGCGGGAATCTGAGGAATCGTACCTGGGGAAGCGTGAACGTGCCACATTTGAACTGGACGAGCACTTTGAGCGCTGCCCGCTTCATCTACAGGTATAATGCACCAAGTACACTGAAGTGAGTCCCCCTTGCGACGTTCAAAGATTCTACTGGAATTTAGTTGATTGCTTATCAGCCACGCACAATGACGAGCCGCAACTCATTTTAAAATTGCAGCCCACCCCTCTCCGTCGCAGCAATCACCCGCTCACACCCAGATGTATTCGCTCGACTTGTTGCATGGAGAGCAACTGTTCACTCCCGCTTCCAGACGACAGCAGGGATAAACAAAGATAATTTTAACACCTTCCAGGCTGTTCTACGCTGCTGCCAACACACTCCCTTACACCTGGAGGATGACCTTTTTGGCGATACAAATGCGTCTACTCTTAAGGGCAACACAGCCTCTCCTAGGAATCCAATGAGACCAATTTGTGTAAACCCTTACTCGGAATTGTGAGCAAATGTGGCACACACGGGGAAGAAATCACTGACATGGCTAACTTCCAATGTCGCACGTGGTAGGCAACCCATTATCAAAGGGCGATAGGCGATCTTCTCTGGGGAAGAATCCACCAGCGTCCTTTGCCCACGGGCAACGCGACCAGCGTGTTCAGAGTATATTAGCAAGTAATCCAGAAGCTCCTGCTTCGGACTCTCCGGGCATCCCTGGCCTGAACCCACCACACGAAAGTCGACAAAGCTCTAGAAGCACTCATCTGCTACTGTGAACGGATAGTACGAGGTGAGTACATGCCCCTAAAGAAGAGAATCTCAACTGGCCAATAGAGCAAGAAACAAGATGACATCCCCACCATACACCCTACACCTCCACGCAAAGGCCCTACCTTGGTAGCATGTATCGTTGTTGACCGTGTCGAAGTTTGGCTGTGCGACAGATGCATCTTCTAGAGCTAAATTGGCACTGAAACCATCAGATCCCAAGGCTTCAGCGAGATAAGCGCGATCCGCTGAGAAACGAAAGTTCAAGCTTCCTCCAATGATGAGGGGATCTGTGGCCTTCAAAATGCCCTTAGGAAGCTCGGCAAGGCGACGACGACGACACGGTTTGGGTTTAGCCAGTTCTGGTTCTGTAATCCCTGGAGGACTGCTAAGCTCAAGCTCCGGCAGACCTTCCTTCAGCGTGGCCGATCGTTCGGGCTTGCCCGTAATCTCACTGGAGACGACAGAGCCCTCCGTGCCAGTACTTCCCTCCCCTGGGGAAGCGAAGGCTGCATCAACATCGCATGAAGCGAACTCCACTTTCTCTGCATCCTCCATACCGGTTCTAGCCCAGGCCATCACCTCCTTCACTTGAGACACGCGGAGAGCGTTATTGTTTGGCCCAGGCTGCAACTGCATGGCAAGCAAGTTGTAGACCTTTCCGCACTTTTCCACCTGAACCAAAGCAGCCCCTGCATTGTATAGTGACTGGGGATATGCAGAGGAAGAAAAAATATAGGCATGACGACGCAGGATTGGCCACTTGGATAGGATTACTATCCCGCCATTTCCTCTGAAACGTGAGAAGCTTCCGCATACAGAATCCCAGCCGCTTTTCGTCACAAATGCTGTAGGTTGGTTCTTTCCCTCAGGTTTGCTCGAAATCCGGGTCAGGCACCACCAGCAGTGGCCGCAACACGAACAGTAGCCGTCCTCGTTCTCAGTACTGCAACATCCCGGATCAGCGCCCACCACTCTTGTCTGGAAGGGAAACATTGGCTCTTCCCTATGGAGCCTCCTCAAGAGGCGCTGCGTCGAAGTAGAAAAGGCTCCTTGAATCAAAAGTATATCGGGGTGGTGTGTCTCTTCTAAGCAAAGAAGGTAGCGAATCAGGGCAGCCTCCCGTTTTCTCCAGTTATCGTCGAAAAGGCCCCAACAGTTTCCCATGTTCAAGTTGTACGACACAACAGTTAGCTCGTCGGGAGAGGAATTCAGACATATGCTGAAGTACGTGGACCTACGAGCCTCCAACGATAGGGACGGCGGCAACGCATCTGGGTCAGAAGGCTGCCCTTCTTCTTCTTGGCTTTTTTCATCCGTTTTCTCCTTCGAACGTTCGTATTGGCGCTCCCTGTGTTCTTTTGGCTGTTGTCTCTGGTGCTCATGTACAGCCTTAGCTCCAGACGCTTGAGTTCCACAATCCCGAGGTTGTGTTCGTGAGCAGCTAACGTGGTGAGGCTTGGACTTTGACGGGTGACCCCGAAGGGACCTTGCCTGGTGGCCCCGCGGAGTCTTCTTAGCACTTCGAGGAGACACTCGCACGGAAGAACCGTTCTTATGGGCTCCCTGCGGTGAAGTGCTGTCCGGCGAGTCTTCTGCCTTCTTACCCTTATCGTTCACCTCAAGACAGGGCACCGAAACTGAATCAGAACCTGCAGCAGCAACATGACAGTACCCAAGCCAGGTGATAAAAGCAGCACCGTCCACCAGATATGTCTGCAGAGCAGCCCCCAAAGTTCAGTTCACCAGGTAAGTGTGTGCAGGTGTTCTTCAAAGCATTGCCAAATACAAGTATGTCCCGGCGTTGACAAGTAGCTCAGAATGGAGCCCCATCTTAGGAGTAAATACTGAGGGTAGCTCAAAGACCTCGTCTACGGGCAGACGGAAGCCAAAGCTGCAACTTGCCTTTGTGCGTCGTTCGTCGAGGTTTCTCAGTCGGCGCTGAATTCGACTCTGGAGCAGCAGAAACTTCCGGCTCATCGGGCTGCATCATCTTCTGAAAAGCGTCAACAGCGTGGGTTCTTGCTTGCGAAGCTGGCCATAAACAACCCCCGTCTTCCTGCGCATGAAAGACAGTGGTGAAGGCATTCGGCTCAAGTTGCCAGCCAGCCTAGTACCTAACCCTATCGATGTATTCACCCTCTTTAAGCCCCACAAGGGAAGGAAGAAGAAGATAATCAGCCTAACCTGCTGTTCTCCGCTCTCCACCCTTCAGAGCATCGACTTGTTCTATGCCAACCAACCTCTAGTTCCACGAGTAACGACCGGAGATTTGAATCGCCAGCATGCAAACAGTGTTAAGTAAAAAGCAGCAAGCGACTGGCATCCTACTGTTGGAATCCACAGCCTTGCCGGCACGTGGCCCAGACTGCCTGCGTGCACGAACAACGACCGATGTATCCACGCCCTGTTGAGATAGAGGAGCACCCCCAGATTCATGTAGAGCTCTCAAGCAACAGTGTTATATTTCTTTATATCCAATAACAAATCAAGGGGAGGCCTGAAAGCATGCGGAACAGCTATCTCCGAGGGAACGACAGCGCCCTCGCAGATAGCCCAAGCCAGCAATACTTGAGGGCTTGTGGCAGATTTCAAGTGGCCATTAAACAAGGATCTGTTAAAAATCGATACCCACGCTACACTTAAAAAGACATCAAGCGAAGCAGAGAATGAGTCTCGAGCACCCAATGAGCAGGCAAGCCCATGGCCATGCAGCTGGGCCACGAGGAGCGTTGAGGAGTCCCAGCTGCAACGGCAGTTGATGGTCTCCAATGTAAATAGTGGGACTTTTCCAAGAACTCAACTCCTGCTTCAACATAATGGGATATTTATGTTTTTGTATGACGGAGGAAGCACCTAAGTATCACGTCGATCTTACGGTTTCTGTGGGGGAGCCATTGGTACCCTGCGTTTCGGGACTCAGCTTCGCAGTAATTTCTCTCGCTTTCCGTAAACCATTTCATGTATACATGTAGTTATGTGAACCGAAATTCATGCATTGTGACCAGGTTGCACAAGCGCGCGCGTGGCTTGCTATACGCCGCCGCTTGTGCCGCTCGCAAGCGTTGAGCCGTTTGCAGGCCCTTCTAGTCAGTGAAAAATTGGAAATTTGCTTGTGAAATCTGAAATCATTTTTCACTACGACTTCAGGGAGACAACTGTCATCCTGCTTGTTGTGTATCTAAAAGTTAATCGCCTAATTATGAGTTCCGCAGGACAAGTGGTATCGAACGCATTACATACTTAATACATCCTTAATAACGTTCACATGAGTGCAGTGCCCCTAATATGGATTAGCGAGTTCCATCCATATTTAAGCGTCGGATTCAGGCTGCACTGGACTCATATTGGGCAATGAGTATTTTCAGGCATCAGTTCAAGTGCCATGGGACCATTATGATAACGCAGGCTTTTGATGCTCTCGACTTGGGTTACATGGGTTATTCACTGTAGTAATGCGGTGGTGTCTAATTTTGGCCCAACATAGAACATCTCGATTTTCGCACTAGGTGCACCAGAATGAGGAGAATGTCCGGGGACCTCAGCAGCACGACAGTTGGCAACACATGGCTTCCGCTCCATGCATCAAAGCCCCGCATCGTCCTTATATAAAAGTAGAGAGCATAAGGCTAATATATCTAATAAGTAGTCTCTAGCTCAAGTTTCAGGAAGACCCAAGTAAGTATATGCCAGTCCTACTCCCTACTCGCGCTCCTCGCGCTTCAAAACAAAAAGCGCTGAAGAATTACTGTTTAAGATTGGCGATTTGCTGAGCGAAGCTACCCATGTCATACTCTGTGGGGCTCAGCCTGCACAGTTATGAATGAAGCTAACAAGAGGAAAAACGCATGCATTACCGTCAACTACCCCTGCCTCTAACTTTAAACTTGTAGTCAAAGCCCCAGTACATTTAGATACAGATGGCCACTAAATTAAATATTCCTGGCAGCAGCTGAAACCTCCATGTAGATTTTGGGCAGGCCCTACTTCCAAGGACCTCTTCCATCCTGCACACCGAAGGGATCCTGGGACACAGCCTTCAGGAAACGATGTAAGACAAAAAGAATGGTGGTTGAGCGAGTGCACCGAGCCTCCTGATGTCAGTAGCAACCGACTCCACGATTTCTCGACCTGTCCAAGAAGGGATCTGGTCAAGGCCGAAGGTATAGCAAAGCCCTGTCCTGATTTGCCTGAAATATCGGCACCAGCAGGACATGCAGGAGACGGCACCGCCAGACGTGTGTTCGCCAGACACGTAATCTGAGTGTGTCACCGCCAGATGTGTGTTGGCCAACGTACGCTGCCGCTCAACAAAACAGTTTGGCTAACCGTTGCCCAACTAGAGCTGAAGGCGCGTTATCGAATTCTACGACTGCTGGTAAGCAGCCCGATACCTACCTAGTTTCACCAACAAAGCTCTACTAGGTTCACCCGAGTGGGATTTGTACCAGTTGGGGAAGAATTCAGAAATTAGGGAGGCCCCTAATTGGATATTTGTGGCCAGAAGTGATGAAAAAGATAGTAAAGCGGTAGCGTCTCCCCGAACACGAAACATGTCGGACAAGCGTTGCAGTGCCAAGAGACGCCATCGCCCCCCATTGCATTCAACGACCGGGAGCATAATCTCGCGTCCTGGCTGCTCAAAATAATTGGACCACCCAGGGACCCACCACCTGGGCTCCCCAGATTATTCTTGAGCCCTCAATGCAAAGCCATTTTCACCGCAAAAGAGATCGCTGCCGCCCTCTCCCGCCTGTGCCGACAGCAAATATTGCAGTTGTTGCCGTGATGTAGGAGTCACGGAATAATGAAATAACTCATTTGTACTGTATGAGTGCATTAGTTCCCAAAATCCACCAGACCAGCTACAGTTTCTACTGCTACCCTCTTGCTCAGAAGGCAAGGTACGGTCGTGGTGCTTCTCGTTCTGCGGGTACACAGTTTTTCAGAGATTCAGGTGAAGCAAGTGCCTCCAACATCATTACTGTCTCACAGGTAGAAGTATTGCAGACAGTTGCCGATCCACCTTATGAACGCGTTCACGGGTGAAGTGCAAGTCAACAGACGTCCTGACAATAGGCACAATAGACAATAGGCAAGCAATTGCGTTCCACTCCTGCCTTCGTAATCTGGAGTATACCTGTATTTAATTTGAGCTAGTGAATGCACCGTCCGGAGTGAAAAAAGAAATCAATTACGACTTCGTTGACCTAAGAAGAGCAGGCTGCTCATCTAGACGGACGGCGTGCTTGATCTTGGCGGGTATGGCCAGGGGCAAGTGCAGAGCTTGCGGCGCTTGTTCAAATTACCGCGTAAGGAGCTGTGTTTCATAAAATCCAGAAAGATATTCGTTATGCAGGTAATTAATATATTACCGGTGCTTGTCTCTGCAGCGAGAATCGAAGCAGCGCCAGTGGCGCTTGAGGCCACCCCGAGCTGGCCGACTCCCGTAGACACAGACATCTAGAAGCTCATCTGTTACGCGCCATATTAAAGCACGCAGTAAACACGGGGAAACAATTAAGGAACGACGCACTTGCTCATGAGGGGCATTTTTTTTCTTCTTCTGTTGTGCCCCTCGATATAAACGACGGTCAACTCAAATGAGTCGAATGGGCATTCGGCTTACCATATGTTTGTTATAACTTTTGGCTAGCCGTGCTAGCAGCAGATGAGAGCAAAATATTGTGAGGGTAATCAGAAATATATTGGAAGCTTTAGTTGCGTTCGTCCTTCTCTTCCACTAGAATTTTCGATGGGACGCAGTTCCCCAAAATAACGGGTTGACTGTGGCTATCTCTTGAATCTTTGAAGCAAATTAACTAGTGCTTTCTCAGTAACGGTGTAGAGCCCACCGCATACAGCAGCACAAGCAACGCCTCTTGTTCATCAACACATGCATGCATCTGTCGGGCAGCCCCACCGCCCGAGCATGAGCGCTGCGTTCGGAGACCGTGGACCCGGGACCGGTCAATACACGTCAGATGTCTGTGAGGACATTTAATTTATATGTTATCGTGAATCACGGGTTGCCTGTGTTGTAAAAAGCGCTTCTCCAGCACTATAAAAACGTCATAGGTGAGATTTGTGCAGCGATGCTCAAGCCGGCAGTGGTGGCTTCTCACTTTTGGCTGGCCTGAGTAGGTTCTCTTTTAGCGCATTTACGTTTTGCAGTGGGCGTTGAATTGTCCCTGCAGGGCTAGAAGCGAATGTCAATTCAAGGTGGGTGCCTCAGACCTGCATCCCACTTTTGGGAAGGCGAGGACGCCGAGACGGAACAAATACCGGTAGCAAATCCACGTAGTCATAGGCACCTTCTAGTCAAATTTCCAGATTAGATAGCTAGCTTCGATGTTTTTGAAGCGCATACTATATTTTCCGTGGGAAACTTTTCCCGAGCCGCCAGCAGTGGTTTCCCTTGAAGGTTTTTGCCGTAGTTAGCCACGAGATCTGTTCCAGGAAAACCAGACAAGTTATACAACTCAATGACTTGACAAACGGAAGCTTGAAAAGGTGTGATATACACGCCAGAACATCGGGTTGGTCATAGGGACGAATTGAAAGCTGAGCGGGAAGAGAGTGAGCAGCGACGAACCATCATGATGCTGGCCAACCACGCTAAAGCGCAGAGCCTTTATGGTAATTGAGTGCATCCTCCAGATTATTTTGGGTCAACTACTCCCTTGGGGAGGCTTATTTCTAGATTCTAGCCCCGGCCGACTCCCTGGTGGAAAATGACTGGAGAGTCAGACCCTGGCCAAGCAGCTGCTTCCATCCTTTGGCGTCTAGCATGCGTAGAACAGCAAGTAAAGGAATCTCGAGATGATTTGGCTTCTATCTAAATACTGTAGCAACTATGGCCTGACTAAAACTCAAAACAGCTAATACGCCTGCAGTGTTCGTTGTTTGTGAGATCAGTTGGACCGTCTGCGCAGAGCGCTACGCCGCTCCCAACCCTACTCCCCTGCTCATCTGTACGCCGCTATTCGAGATCATGGGAGTGTTCGCTTGTATGGTAATGCAAACTCCACACTTGTGAAGGCAAGAGGCTAGCCCCTCCACTCGCGTACCCCACCCCGCCGCTTCGTTTGGCTAGCGCTGCCTGACTGTGACACACACCTCTGCGGCATCAATAATGATACACACTTCTGAAATATCTCTGCTTAGCTTGCTGCATTTGGCCTCTTCCGGTGTGGGCCCGTCCCCTCCAGCAAGCCGCTGGGAGACGCCAATCGTTTAGAGACTTATGCGTTTAATAACTCAGCGAATGCGTGGGTGAAGCTGCTCCGCTTTTATGGCGTCCGAGCTGATGGGCTTGATGGTCGTCTTTTAGCAGCAAGGGTTTCCTCCAAAGACGATGGCGTGTCTCTGGCTGAGTCAGAACAGCCTCCCGCATTGCGTATTCAGATCAGGGCTGTAACCTTTCGGCAGCATAACATGTTAATCATCATTTTCGTGCTACAGTGCCAGCGTAAAGCCACTGTATACGCTTGCCACATCCTTTCTTCCATTTTTTTTACTTGCAGTTTTCTGCGATGGACACGGCCAAGCATGTTTGTTAGTCCATGTGAGGCTTCAAGCATCGAGCTGGCTACACTAACTGTATCCCAGAAAGGGCCGGAGGAACTGATTGCAAATATGGGTCTTTTGGAGGTTGAAGCAGCAGCAGACGTCGCAGCTGCTGCAACAGCAGCTCGTGGGAGGTGTAGGGGCCAGTGTGTGCCTTGTACCCTCTTTAGCTGCATAGACACTACCAAGACAGGGACTGTGACGGAAGGCAAGCTAGACAGGTGTTTGGCAGCGTGTGTAAGGCTACAATGAATGAGGTCAAAATTTTGCGTATGTAAAGGGCTGGGAGATAGGGAGGAACAATAGGCATTTTAAAATAGATTTGAGGC